GATGGAAAACTTGTGGAATTATGCTCTCACGAAGTTAGCGGTCTCGATGATGTTTACGCATCGGCGATATTGCCCCCTTTGAGCCCTATTTTTGGCCAATTCCAGTGTACTAGTCGACAAAAATCATAACTATTTCGCTTGAACTCCATTTTTTCTATCGAATGAGTACAAGAAACCACCCATTTACTGATTTCAACTATCCAATAAAGTGGTCAGAATTTAGCAGTTTTGCCAATTTCACACAAATTTCAAAAGATGCCAATTTCCAAATAGGGTCCAGAATAAACAGACATTCCTGGCACTAAAATAACATTTCCTCTGTTCATTAGTCACATCCCCACGCCCCTCTTACATTCTTTTGCTTTCCACTTTGAATTTTTATTCTCGCAAAAAATAGAAGCTTTGCTGTTATGCAGACTACTGCATTTGTGTAGAAATGGTATAAATAATATCAGCAACTTGTGAAAGAATATTAGACTCGCCAATTGACGTGTATTGGACGCGTAGCATGATTTGTTTACTTTTGAACTTTGGCAAAAATCGAAGATTTCTGCTACTTTGAGCTCAATTTCAAGGTACTTTTCATTGTAAAACCAATCAAATTCCTCTCAATTTCTGTAATGTCTTCCATTCTATAAAATGAGACCAGGAAAACTAGAATACCGTCATAAATACCATACGAAAATACAGTGCAAAGTCGCTGTTTTAAACCAGAAACACTGTCAGATTTTTTTTCTCATTACACACTGTGTGCTGCAGGATTTTTTTTTTTGTACTGCACACACTGACCACATAGACCCATTCTTTCATATGTAGGCCTACCAGCTTTCTCACTAGATTTGAGGGCACTAAAATTTAGGTGTACTAGTACGTCAAAAACCCTGGTGCGTAACCCTTTCAGGGTTTCCGACGTAAACCCTGAAAGGGTTAATGCTATACAGTACTTTATCGCTGGCTTGTGCTATAGCCTTTATCGACTCCTGCTGCTTTAGTATCGTACATATCGTAGAATCACTGAAGAATTCTATTGTGTTTCTCACCTTCTTTATCAAAGGGCTGGCACTCTGAACTTTCTTTGGCCCCATGGTGGCTTATTTAGCAGTCATGAGCACAAAAAACAATGGATTATTACGAAATGTTTCGGACTGAGTTGCAAACTTATGAGCGGACGCGTCCAACACATATGATTTCCGGATGGAGGTATGAAATCTCAACCAAAATTTCACCCAAAAGTGTTCTAAATCTGAATTGTACCATATGCGGACTGTACAAAAACTGGAGTTCCACTGTACAAGCAAATCGAGATAAGAGCTGGGTCACAGAACTAATTAAACTTGTAAGTCAAGGTACCACTGTATATGACGGGGAAAATCCCCACACCATTTTATAAGTTTAATTGGCAAATTGGCACCTGCACATTCACTGACAATCTAAACGTTTCTAAGTAGAATAAATCAGTGTTGGCTTCAAACTGACAATGAGAAGAGACTTTGAGTTATTGTATGAAAAAGAAATTTGAGAATGAGGCTATACAGTGGACCCTCGGTTTTTGTGTTTAATCCATTCCAGAGTGATCGGCAAAAACAGAAACCATTTTCCCCGTAAGAAATAATGTAAATCCAATTAATCCATTCCAGACACCCAGAAGTATTAACAAAAAAATTTTTAACCTTACAGATAGATTTACATGCACAAAAGAATGAACATTCAACATGACACTTACCTTTATTGAAGGCTGTTGTTGATGGATGGAAGACCAGGAGGAAGGGAGAGGGAAGAGGTTATTTTTTGGAAGGGAAATTCCCCTCCATAAGAATTGTTGGTACCAAGTCCTTATCTGGGGTCACTTCCCTCCTTTGTTTTTTAATGCCAATAGGACCAGCTCGAGTCACTGGACCCCTGTCGCACTATATATGTCCAGGTAGGTCTGTTTCTGGCGTCTCTTTAAGACTTGCCTAAAATGGGACATGGCATTGTCATTGTAAAAGTCGCCAGCATGGATTGCAACAACTTTTTCAGGGTGATGTTCCTCTACAGATGAATGCACCTTAGTCCACATTGCACAAATCTCCTTAATCTTTGAAGAAAGCACCTTCTTCCATCTCTCTTCCTCCTCCTCTGAAGCAATTTCCTGAGCTGTGGTTTGTTGCTGGTGCAGATGAAGCTCTTGCAGCTCTTCAGTGGTTAGCTTTTCACTGTGGTCCTCCACCAACTCTTCCACATCCTCGCCACTCACATCCACCCCATGGAATTCCCCAATGCTATAATTGATTGCACAACAGGTGTAGGGTTGATAGGGTCAGTCTCAAACCCTTCAAAATCCTTCTTTTGGACACAATCTGGCCACAGTTGTCCCCAAGCAGAGTTTATCGTCCTGGAAGTCACTCCCTGTCAAGCCTTATCTATAAGGCTTGTGCAGTGGAAGATATTGAAGTGATTCTTCCAGAACTCTCTTACAGTCAGTTCAGAGCCCGAGGTTATCTCAAAACACCTTTGAAACATTGCTTTGGTGTTCAGTTTTTTGAAGTTTGCAATGATGCTGGTCCATGGGCTGGATGAGAGGAGTGGTGTCAGGAGGCAAAACTGAATTCCTTAGACAATTGGTCTTCCAAGTCTGGAGGATAAGCAGAAGCATTGTCCATTAACAGGAGGCACTGGAGTGGCAATTTATTATCCAAGAGGTATTTATTCACACTTGAGCCAAATACTTCATTGAACCATTCCAGGAAAATTTCCCTCGTGGCCCATGCCCTACTGTTAGCCTTCCACATCACACACAATTTACTCTTGACAACACTGTTTTTCTTGAAAATGCTTGGATTTTCAGAGTGATACAGCAGTAAAGGCTTCACATTGAAATCCCCACTAGCATACCACACAAGATTGTTAGCCTGTTTCATAGGCTTGTTTCATAGGCTTTTCCTCCCACATGATGTAGGTCCTCTTTGGCATTTTCTTCCAAAACAGGCCTGTTTTTTCACAATTGAACACTTGTTGGGGTTGGAATTTTTCAGTCTCTACATAACCTTCGAATTCCCGCACAAATTTTTCAGCCGCTTGTTTGTCTGAACTGGTACCCTGCCTTACAGCCCTGTGTATACCACTTAGGTTCTTGAAATTTTTGAACCAGCCTTTGCTGGCCTTAAATTCACCAGCATCAGCACTTGTTTCAGGCAGTTCCTTTGAGATCGTCATGCAACTGCCTTGCCTTTTCACAAATTATCGACTGCACAACACTATCTCCTGCTAACTCTCTCTGATCCATACCAACAGTTTCTTTACTTCTTCAGTTGCTTGGGATCTCTGTTTGGTTATCGCATTCACCCCTTTCACAACATCAGCTTCTGATTTCTTTTCTCTTTGCCACAGTGGAGCTGATAGTTGATGGCGCCTTCCTGTACGTTCTGCCGAGTTTGGCTATGCATATGCCACTCATATTTTTGAAAGATTTCTTTTTTCATTTCTACAGTGTTTCTCACTTTCTTTACCAAAGGACTGGCACTAGGAGCTTTCTTTGGGGCCATGGTGGCTTATTTAGCAACCATGCACAATAAACAAGTGCCAAAAACAATGGATTATTGCAAAATGTTTCGTATGACCTGGCAGGAGATGTTCACTCACCGAGAAACAACGCGACACTGCCTGAGAATGCGTGTGGGAAGCGGCTTTGTCTGCGCACTGGGCACTGGACAGGTTCCGTACCATCGATGAAAACGGAACTAAAATATTGATGAAAAAAGTTGACAAACTGAAATTGGTGATAATGGAGATCAACAAAAAGGGAGGGGCCACTGTATACCATTGATCATAGGGCACTTGCATTGCAAATACTGTAGTTGCATGAACCTTTCCCTATTTACATTATGCCATCATTTGAAAATTTGAAGCTGATTGGATAGTGTTTTCTTGAGTTATTAATATAAATCTTAGAGGAAGAAAAAATGTATTTGAGAATATACTGAAAATAAAAACTTGAGGGCTCACTGAACTTGTGAAACCTTAATAAAAAAAAAAAAGAAACATACGAGTGCTAAGTTTTTCTTCTCTTGGTTACCTTCTTTGTAAAAAATTTTGGAGTCCTAAAAGAAAACACTTGGTTATTCCCCCTGCACACTGGCAACTCCAGATTTCATCCCATCTATGAACTCAGAGACAGGGACATCAAAGGGATGAAGCCAATTTTTTTTAAACTGGTACCTACACAGTCCAATAACTATCCAAAGTGTCGTGTAAGATAGATTAGCTGAAGGATTGAAGCAGATCAGATGAAGCATTCACAAATTACATTAAACATATATTTAAATTTTCACATGTTAAACAAAACTGACAAATCAGCACTAACATAGCCCAAATTGCAGTACAAAAACTAAATACACCAGTGCTTAAGATTTGAAGCCACTCAAAAAAAGGCAGTCTTGGGTTAATGCATACAAACCAGTTTAATAAATTTAGCAAGTAAAAATTTACACAGCTCAGAGTGAAAGCCAAACTTTCTTTTTATTAAGGCATCCAACAATTGGTTATTTTAGCTGTGTTAATAAATTGTCAGATTACTGCTTGTTGTTCTGTAAAATGTATCAGTCATTAAAGATTAGAGCCACTCAAAAAAATATATTGTTACCATGATTAAACAGGAAAGAATCCACTACACAAGTGGTAAATGTACCCTTGAGAGGCTATTGAAAGTCATTTGCTCATTCCATGACTCTTGTTGAAAAAAAAATATGTATATAATATAATTTTCTTTAATTATTTATTTAGTTATAATGCATATGCCAGCAGTTACAATACATACACCAGCTTCAGAAATTTAAAGCCAATAAGATGAGGCATTTTCATGTTAAAAATGAAAGACACTTTGGAGGAAAAGAAAAGTCTAGCAGCCACTTAACAGTACCTCTTCAGGTATTACTAAATAGGATTTATTCATTGTATCTTGCCTTTTAATAGGTTTTATAGTTCCATAAATCTAATTCTTTTGTCTGTTGTGATTGTGACAGTTCCAGTTGGAGGACCTAGCACCTGTCAGTTTGGAGAAGACTTTCCGAACAGAGCTCAACCTGCCTGAAGTCCGCCCTGACCACTCCATTCCTATGATCATTGAGTTAGTCATCACTTATTTTTGTTTGTCATTTCCCTTCATTACCCATGGGATTGTTTTACTTTCCCTGTGGACAAAGTCATATTGTGAATTGTTGTAAATCTTTAAATTACATAATTTTTTAAGCACAGTTTTGTTTTGTGTAATGAATTATGTTGAGTTAATTTCAAGAGGTGAAAATTCTTAGTTTTGTATGGACGGTGTCTGAAGGTGTGCTTTTTATTGCAGTAATGATAAGGAGTATCGAGCTCGGTCAGAAGTCCAGGTGACAGTGACAGGTGGGTCCATTCCCTCACAACTCTTCTCAGCCACACAGCTTATGGAATCTGATCATGTGGATGGTCATTTAGCAACTTCCACCAGCCATATAGGTTCCTCCATGCAAGTTACTACCACAACTTCCACTCGCCGTCTGGCAGCTGCCACTGCAGCATCAGGAGCTGCAGAGCCTCATGTAGTGCATCCTGTTACAGGTGAAAAGCTTTCTTTGTACCAGGCAATGGAAGGTGGGTTAGTGGACCTTGCAACAGGTACATTGATTCACCCTACCACTGGTGAGGACATTCCCTTGTCTGAAGCTGTGGAACGTGGTTATGTGAACCCTGTGCTTTTAAAACACTTGGATACACCTTGCGGTATAATAGATCCATCGACAAGACGAGAGCTGACACTGTTACAAGCTACTAAACGAGGGTTGTACAGCCCAGAAGAAGGAACCTTCAAGGATCCCACGACAGGCAAACTGCTAACACCGGAAGAGGCAGCAAAGATTGGTTTCATCATTTTAGAGAAGGTAAGCTTCTTTACCCAGCTTTGTGTACCAGTGGTGGCTTCGCTCTCTCTCTATGATGCCATAGTTGAAGGCCATGTTAATGTGCGCACAGGAGAATTCACTGTTCCTTCTACTGGAGAAAAGATACCAATAACTCAAGCTTTTGCCAGAGGATTCATATCTGCTGAACCATCACCAGTTTTATCAAGTGGAATATCTCTGTCAGAAGCCATCAGCCAGGGATTCATTGATGATTACTCAGGTCAGGCCATAGATAGAAATTCTGGAGAAAAGTATACATTAGATGAGGCTGTTCAAAAAGGACTTTTGACATCTCATATTCGTGAGGTAGTAAATTCAGATACTGGATGTAAATTAACTGTAGCGGAAGCCATTAAGGAAGGTGTAATAAGTGTTACTGCTGGACGTTACATTAATAATGTTACTGGGCAGAAGTTGCAGTTTTCTGAAGCGTTGCAACAGCAGCTTATTTGTCGACCTTACACACTGAAAGACTGCAATGATCTGAAACTCTTGGACAGTATAGGACATATACAAGATCCACAAATTAGGGACCATATACCATTACTAGAAGCTGTTGGTAAGGGCATTGTTGATGTAGATTTAAAATCGGTGAAAGATACAGCCAGCAAAACTCTCCTTACTTTGCCTGAAGCTTTTATGTTTTCTGTGCTCCTGCCTGAAGGAAAGTACAGAGATACCGAAAGTGGAGAGGTCATTAGTCTTATAGATGCTGTAAATAGGGGTCTTATCACATCAGTATCCACTAAAACAATATTTGATATTGATGGTATCAAAGATCCTGAAACTGGGAACTACATCAGTTTTAAGATGGCAATGCTGAAAGGTGTCATAAATTCTAAGACTGGTTTATTTAACCTAAAGAATGGAAGTACTATGAGTCTGGAGGATGCTGTTACAGCAAAGATGATTCAGCCACAAATTCTTGAAACTCTTAAAATGAATATTGGAATTTTTGATAAGGGAAAAGAAATTAATGTTGTAGAAGCTGTCTTGAATAATAATCTTGATCCCAACACAGGACAGATCTTAGATCCTAAAACAGGAAAGGCTGTGGCCCTTGAAGAGGCAGTGAATAGAAAATTAATCACCCCAGAAGGTGCTGCTACTTTGCGAGGTCTGTTGAGTGTTACTGTGACTACTGCTACAATTACTAAGACCATAAAGAGGTATGTTACTGTCAAAACCACAGGCATTCATACCACTGAATCAAGAGTTACTCTACAAGAAGCAAAACACAGGGGTCTCATCAATGAAGCTCAAGGCACCTATCATGATCCAGAAAGTAACAAAACTATGCCTTTAGATGAAGCCATTCAGCAGGGTCTAGTTACTCTGTCAAGGGAATGGCCTTCTGCACTGCCAAGTGCTAATGCCACTTCTCCAGACTCGACAGTTCCTGTTTCACCAACAAGGGAAACTGTTAAGCGTCATCACTCTCCAGACAAGTTTCCTAGTCCAACCAAGAGTGCTAGGACTAGTATATCACCTGAGCGGCCATCAAGGCCACCTGTTTCTTCTCCATCAAAGATGCCTGATAGGATTGGTTCACCTACAAAGACAAGTGGTATTAAATCTCCTGACAAAACTTATGAAGATTTGTATTCACCCCAGTCTTCACCATCAAAATCTCCAGAGAGAGTGTTGGTAAGACCTAATCTTCCCATATCCCCACAAAAAGCAGACAAAGAAGCAACACCCATTAGATCACTTGTTTCTTCTCCATCTAAAACACTAGAAAAAGTAGCATCTCCTGTAAAAGGTAGCCAACCAGTTTCTCCAATGAAGGGAGAGGATAAGGAACTCTCTCCCTCAAAATCACCAAGAAGAAAAGCATCACCACTGAAAACAATTTGTCCAACTTCACCTGAGAAAAGGCAAAGTCCGGGTTCCACAGAGATCTTTCAATCCCCTTCGAAAGATCTCGTTTTGACAAAACTAGAGAAGTTATCTCAAGAATTCATTGAAACTGATGATTCTATAGAATATTTAAGTACCAAGTCAGTCTCTCCAACAAAATTGGTTAGTGTTAGACCTGACACACTATTCCAAACTATAAATGGCTCGCGAGAAGGCTCGCCGACAAAATCTCGCTCAGAATCCCCATCAAAATCTTATAGTTCGAGACAAGCATCACCATACACTTCAAGAGGCGAGTCTCCCATAAAGTCATTTGGTTCAAGGCCAGATTCTCCAATGAAATCTAGTGGGATAGGGCCAGAGTCTCCTCTAAAAACTGATGAATCTGTTCCAACTTCACCTGATAAAGGTATGCCAGGGAGCTCTCTAGTGTCACCAGAAAGACCTCCAAGAAAGATAAAGAGTACCCTACGGTCTCCTGCTGATTCTGTTGATAGTGCTATGGGAAATATTGATGATACAGATATGACATCATCTGGTGCATCATTTACTGGCACCACGACTGTATATAATGAAAGCTATTCTGCAAAAACTCGTACTCTGGAACTGCCACCAGATGGCTGGTTTCTTAAAGAAGCAATTGATGAGAAGCTGTATGATCCTGTCATGGGCCTTTTCACAATACCAGGCACAGACAGATTAGTCAGTTTTGAGGAATGCGTCAAAATTGGGATTATCGATTCTCAGTCTGCCGAAGTTATAGACCCAAAGAATGGACGAAACATTACTCTTACTAGAGCTCTGGACAAGAATATTCTAGATTGCACTGGAAAATACCCTGATGAATTCAATCCAGACAGGAGGCTTACCATGAAAGAAGCAATAACTAAAAAATTGGTAATCTTGAAAGATCGCACTGATGAGATAACAGATTATGTATCAGGTCGCGTTATTCAGATAACTAGTGTTGATGGTCAACCAGACAAAGTTCAGGTGTCAGGTGGTGTGGAAGGTAGTATTTCAGGTACATTCAGAGAAATTCGAACCAATGAACCTACAGTGGATGCTACTCTTGTTGAGATTAAACCTGGTATTACCTTTAACCCAACTGAAGGTAATATTCATTTAGATGATGGCTCAGTTTTGGATGTAGTAACAGCAGTTAAAGAAGGGAAGATCCAGCCCACTGGAATAAAGGTAAAAGACCCTTACACTGGGCGTGATTTGAATTTTAGTGAAGCTATAAGAAAAGGAGTTATCGACAAAGACTCTGGTGAATACAAAGACAAGACTGGTCGTAAGTTATCATTAACTGATGCTGCTAAGTATGGTGTTCTTGGAGTTGCAGCTGTTATAGGTGCCCCAGTTATTGCTGGAGTGGCTGCTGTGCAGGCCATCAAGAAAGGCATTAAGAAGGTTAAAAAAGTTGATCCTAAAACTGGAGCAGAAATTATAATTGAAGAGAGTGTAGAAATAATTACAGATTCCACGCCTGAGGAGCCTTTGGAGTCGGTGATTAGTAAACATTCTCGCACCACCATAAAGTCTACAACGGTTGTAGAAACAGATGTTATACTTCAAGACCCTGTGACAGGAGAAGAGATTGCCCCTGAAGAGGCATTTTCACGGGGACTGATATCCCCCGAGGAACTTGAAGAAATTAGAAGTACTGCGCATGGGAAGATTCAAGAAATTCAACCTTTGTCTGGTGAAAAAATAATTGGCAGTCCAGAAGAGAAGGTGTTTGAAATTCTTCATCTGGAAGATGACACACAGGTGATAGTGGATGATGTTGGCAGTCTGTCACCAGAGCAACTGCTTTCCATTGACCAGGTAAAGCAAAGACTGTCCACAGACAGTATGCCCTCTGAGGAAAAAATTGAACCAACCAGCCAAGTCCTGCCCTCTGAAGGTAAGCCAGAACCTACTGGTCAAATCCTGTTGTCAGAGGAAGGTGAACCCACCAGTGAGGTTCTGCCATCCGAAGTTAAATCAGAACCCACCCGTGAGGTCCTGCTATCCGAGATTAGGTTAGAACCCACCAGTGAGGCCCTGCCATCTGAAGTTGAACCAGAACCCACCGTGAAGGTCCTGCCATCTGAGGTTGAACCAGAACCCACCTGCAAGGTCCTGCCATCTGAGGTTGAACCAGAACCCACCCGTGAGGTCCTGCCATCTGAGGTTGAACCAGAACCCACCCTGCGAGGTCCTGCCATCTGAGGTTGAACCAGAACCCACCTGCGAGGTCCTGCCATCTGAGGTTGAACCAGAACCCACCCGCGAGGTCCTGCCATCTGAGGTTGAACCAGAACCCACCCGCGAGGTCCTGCCATCTGAGGTTGAACCAGAACCCACCCGCGAGGTCCTGCCATCTGAGGTTGAACCACAACCCACCCGCGAGGCCCTGCCATCTGAGGTTGAACCACAACCCACCCACGAGGCCCTGCCATCTGAGGCTGAACCAGAACCCACCCACGAGGCCCTGCCATCTGAGGCTGAACCAGAACCCACCCGCGAGGTCCTACCGTCCGAGGTTGAACCAGAACCCACCCGCGAGGTCCTGCCATCCGAGGTTGAACCAGAACCCACCCGCGAGGTCCTGCCATCTGAGGTTGAACCAGTACCCACCTGTGAGGTCCTGCCATCTGAGGTTGAACCAGAACCCACCCGCGAGGTCCTGCCATCTGAGGTTGAACCAGAACCCACCCGCGAGGTCCTGCCATCTGAGGTTGAACCAGAACGGCCCCATGAGGTCCTGCCATCTGAGGTTGAACCAGAATGGCCCCATGAGGTCCTGCCATCTGAGGTTGAACCAGAACGGCCCCATGAGGTCCTGCCATCTGAGGTTGAACCAGAACCCACCCGTGAGGTCCTGCCATCTGAGGTTGAACCAGAACCCACCCGTGAGGTCCTGCCATCTGAGGTTGAACCAGAACCCACCCGTGAGGTCCTGTCATCTGAGGCTAAACCAGAACCCACCAGTCCTGTTTTGCCATCTGAAGTTAAACCAGAACCCACCAGTCCTGTTTTGCCATCTGAAGTTAAACCAGAACCCACCAGTCCTGTTTTGCCATCTGAAGTTAAACCAGAACCCACCAGTCCTGTTTTGCCATCTGAAG